AGATGATACAGAATCTTCATTATTTCATCATTGTATGCTGACATGAAGACTGAACAAGATCAATATGTCTTGATATTCGATACATCATCAACCCGCAGTCAGTACATGCCATCAGAGCCGGGCAGGATAATGAAAACGTCACTAAAGATCACACAGTAAATTTGGTGTTTGGCCAGTCCAGCCATGTTGACTGATAGTAGGTATGGAAGTGGCAGTCAGAACGGAAAACAAACTACAAAAAGAAATAAATACCAGGGTCCATGCAGACCGACTGTAGAGTGTTTCATAGTAACATTTGGACAAACAATCTGTGATGGCATGTTGTGGCGTTGTTGGAGGATGGAACTGATCCAGGACTGAGGGTGGGGCTCCGTGTAGTCCAAGCAGACTGCTGTGGTGCTGTTTTAAAAAGTATTTCGTGCCTCTGTGGGTCGATGCTGCTGAGCCAGCTTACCGTAGCCGCCTCTGGCTGGGTCGTAGTCCTGCCTGTACTCATCTCTCACCTACACGACAAACAAAAAACACACAGCCACGCAGCCAGAAGGCACAGACACATCGCTCATTATTTTAGGCCTAAAGTTACATTCTGATAATAGAAAAAAAACAAACTTGTACGCATTTCCCACACAATAAGCCAGTTCTTAGTCATATATTTGTGTTCCCACAGAAAGCTCATTGTGTACCACTACAACAAAATTGGACGTGATTATGTATGTTGTATTTGGTAACGGCACAATATGTGCTTTCATTTTTCAAATGCCACGCTATAGTAATGCTGTCTCCTCAAAGGCCATGGTTAATCATGCATAATTTATTTTAGAAGTTATATCACTTTCTAAATATCATACTGATGTATGAAAATGTCATGATATACAGTATTGATTTTTTTGAAAGCCATTTCAGTGTGTCATTTTTCAAAGGCCATATTATACTGTGTTTTATATTGGTTTTTTTTATATGCTGTATTGCGGAAAAGTCTAAACGTTTTCATGTGAAGGTCTGAAAAGGTAGGAGGACCCAGAACACCATGGTGACACACCCACGGTCCACAGTGACTTAGAATCAATCACTAGTTATCTGTTCCCTATTTTACTGGTCAATCTGGACACCCAGTTGGTTCCTGGCCTCCTGAACTGTACATTTTATTTTGCACAATGTGATGTGTCTGAGCTGCTTTTAATCTAAACTAGAGTTTAACTGATATGGATTTTTAAAAGTGCACAATAACACTTTTGGATCAAAGCTGCTGATATGCAATATGTTTGAATTTGATTTCATTTTTATGCCAAAATAAATTTGTCTTTGACATAAAAGAACAGTGTATTAAGCCCATGGGACATCAAAACTCTGAACTGATATACAGCATAATAACAAAGACAATATATTCCTTAATGTTTGTGAAATTGATCAAACTGATTGTAGCCCAAACAAATCTGTGTTAATTATCAATATTAAAAAATCTAATAACAATATAGTTTTTCCACATAAACACATAACCCAAACAATACAAATAATACAGACCCCTTACATTTGTTTATGAAGGAATTGTGACCAGGATAGCAAAAGCAGGAGCGTGCAGTTGGAAACTTCAATCATCAGTGCTCTCTTGTGGAAAAACTATGTAATGGAGAAATTTCTAAATGACCTCAAACCGAGTGGTATTCCTGTACTGCAATTTCTGGCTGCACACCAACAGAAATGCATCTTCCTTAAGATAATACTGGGTGATATACCTGCATGGCTGATTTATTGGTCTACTTAAGCTTTCTTTAGACAGTTAATGTGGTTAATCTAACCGCAGCGTGTCCATCCAGCTGGCCGGGACCCAGTCTGAACCTTAAATCAGTGGCTCCTTAAGGACTTTTCTTAACTTAAGGACTCACTAAGGGTGCCGCGAGATTTGTTCATTAGTGTATTTTTAAATGTGCCTCTACCATATTCAAATAAACGAGGAAACATTCTTATTGAATTAATGTTTAGATTGCATTTTCCAATATATTAGAAGGCCTATTTTTGGCTTGATAGGAGCGGCAAAGGAGTGACAGTAAATTGGGAGAAGAATAAAACCCATCTGCTTTCCACATTCATTCTTACATATAATAATTACACGTTTATTTATGTGTCAGAATCCTCACCTGTCCTCCTGATTTACCGCGGCCGTACTGCCGTCCCTCCTTGAAGCCGGCGTCCCAGTCTGTCCTGATGATACGATCGTCCAGCCGTGTGCCATTAATGAAGCGCATGGCATTCTCTGCGCCTGAGCGTACGTAGTACCTGGTACAGCGGGAGTTAAGGCTCCTAATTTCTTTTCATCTCATACCAGTGTGTGGTGCTTTGGTTAGTAATGCAAGTATTCTTTAAACAAAGACTTTTTTTTTTTTTTAAACTGGGTCACATATTTAAAAAGGATACTCTACGAAGCAGAACCCGCAGGCCGTCTTCTTGACTTTATCCAGACCAATGATGATGCGCTTGACATCTCCACTTTTAGAAAACAGCTCGTGTACCTGTTTATCAGTTGCAAAAATAACAGAGAAAAGTGAGAACAGTGTAAAGAGATTATAAGAAATATCTGTTAAATGTTAGAAGACTATTCTGGAAACACTAAATAAAATGAAGGATTCAAATCTCTTACAATTTCAATATAATCCACTAGGATCAAATTACAGATTTCTCATTTTCTTACCACAAAAAAAAAAGAATATAAAGGTTGAAAGTAATTTCCAAAGAAGTTGATGCAGAGCTTAAACTGACGATGTACTCAGTAATAATGTCCGTGTGTCCTACCTGCTCCTCTGTGGTGTAGAAGGAGAGATTCCCAACGTACAAGGTGTTGCTCTGCTTCAGCAGCTTCTCCTGTTCATAGCGGTTACCCTGAAAACACAAGCAACATGGAAAAGATATGAGTGAGCGCTGCTCTCAGTAGGCCAGAGATATGTTTCTCTGTTGTAGATTAGATTGGACGGTTTATAGGAAACGTAGCTACTGATGTGTAGTACCAGGCGTTAACACCTAAATCGCAAATATGTAAATTAATAATGACTTTATTTATATAGCACCTTTTAAAAACAAAAGGGCTTCGACAGACAAAGAGGAACATTATCGTTGTGATGCAGAAAAATGTGATTAAATATATAAAAATAAAGAACACAAAAAATAATAATAAGAGCAGAATAGAAGCCGTAATAAATTAAATAAAAATAAAATAGATATAATAAAGTAAAAAGACACAATCACATACAGAGAGATATAAACAATAAAAATGTGTTTTAAGAAGTGAAATTAAGTTAGTTGAGTTATAATAAATTAACTCATAGTGTGTGTAACGTTATATGTTATATTATAGAAACCATCAGTCCATAAATGTGCCTTTATTGTTAAGCTGCCATAACACACACAACACACACGAGGATATTTTTAATTTAAATTTAAAATTGTAACTTTACAGAGAAAACAATGAGGATATTGATAATTAACAATGAGGATAGTCTTTTAATTTTATCAATGAAAGGATACTTTGATATTTTTGTATCAATGAGGAAATATTGTATTTTTAACAAATGGATTTATTGATATTCTTTAACAATTAAGGATATTGATATTTATCCAATGAAGTATCATTTGGACTATTATTTAACAGTGATATTGATTTTTTTATGTCATATAAGGATATTTGATAATGTTTTAACAATGAGGATATTGATAAGTTTTAACAATGAGGAGGATATTGATATTATTAACAATGAGGATATTGATATTTTTATCAATGAGGATCTATTGAAGCGTGAGCAGCCCGCTCTGTTGTTACCGGAGCGACCGATATAAAAGCCCGTCGCACGGACACTGAGCTCCTCAGATATCCCGTATTGTCTCTCCTGCACTCACCTTGAAATGCTGGTCTCTGTACTGACTCACATCAATGTAGGAATCACTATTCAAAGCGTTTAATTTCGCGGACATTGTGGAGAAAACGCGGGTCGGCGGCCTGCAGCTACTCGTCTGTTAGCATTACGGACGTCCGGTTTATGTGTGTCCTTGGAAGTGCTCCGGGTGGAACAACTTCACCAGCATCAGCTGAGTAGCGCCGCCTGCTGGTGAATTCTGTGTTTATTTATTTTTGTTTGATGTAAATAAATTAATAAATAAATAACAAGACGATGGAACCAGGATGTTTTTGATTTTCTCTTCTGTAAAAAAAAATAAAAATAAAATTATTTATGTATTTATTTATATATATTTTATTTTTACTCTCCTTGTGAAAATTAAAGCCGATACACTAAATGCAGTTTCTGTAAGCTTGCCATGTTAAAGTGGCCCAAAGTCACATGACTATTGTAGCTGGAAGGTCAACTGTGAGATGTGGTGCCACACTATTGGTTGCTGCCTGCTGTCACTGGCTGAATGGCTGCGTAGACTGGTGCTCTGGTTGGATTTGCCTTTTTATCCTGCGGGTCTTTTGTTCGTTTTATATACCGTTCGGATAGTTTACTAATATTTTTCAGACGTAGCAACATTTGTTGGATATTAAACACATTTTTGGATACTTTAAATTTGACTCATTCATTTATTTTTCTGATTCTTTTGGGGGATATATTTTAGTAGGATTTCTTTCTGCCAGCCGTCTGATTTAACTGCTTTGAATCCACTTCTGAGTCTTGTCTACACCATTAATTAAAATGTCCTTATTCACACAGTATTTGCCCCTAACAGCTAAAACAGCAACCTTTGAGAAACCTTTATGATTAAATGTTATAGTACATTCAAAGGGTGCAATTACCAGAATATTTCAGTGCATAAATAAGGCTTCATGGATAACTTTTAAATGTTAATATAATGCTTTATAGATTGTACTACCCAACTATAGATCTACACCATCAATGACACATACAGAGGTATCAGGCTTATTATAAAATGTAAAGTAAGATCTTTAAATACATGAGTGAAGCAAATGGAAACTGGAAAAACTTGTTTTGTTTTCTGTTCCAACAAAATCACATCAATTTCTAGTAAGGTCAACATTTTATTATCATAATTCAAATATTCAAAGTAAACAAAAACATTTATCCTAATCTGTCCCCCGTCTGACTTCTGACTTAATAACAACCTACATTTTTATTTATCTGTGTGTGTGGAAAGACTATAAAGATATAAATGAACCGGCTTATAAATCACAGAAACTGAAAAACAAAAGTGAGATGAAACGGCAGGACACAACGTTATCGTCAGCCCACGGTCAAATACTGGTCTTAGCTGCTCACTGTCAATTCTACTAATGTTTAACAGAGACATACAGTCAGTTCTTGTATCATAATAACATCAGTAAAACCAATAAAAACGGAGCATAACTATAAGTGGCTCTGCCGCGGGGGGTTGCCAACTCTACTCCCAGATTTGCCATGTAGTCTTCATCAGAGGTCAGAGGATCTCTACTTTATGCTCCTGGAACCTGAAAGACAATTACAGTACATTAAACATTCATGTAATTACAAAAAAATCATCTTTTTTTTACCTAAAATTCATGTAAAATTATTTTTTTTGTTGTCCAATATTTTAGAATATGACCTGTTGATGCTACTTCTACTAACAGCTGGGTTTCTTTTGAATATTGATACTGATACGATGTCAGTTTCCGCACCAATACCAAAGCAGTCCTTTTTCATTTCCTGTCGCCTGCAGCTGTTCAGCTCCTTCTGGTTCAATTACTCGCTGACAAAACTAATCCGCTGTCAAAAAAATGCCACAGATAATTTCCCGTTTTATAATAAAATAAATACTAAATACAGTTTTCTTATGGCTGCTTCACAATAAAAGCTGACCGGTGCTCTGCAAGTTGAAGAACAATAAAAATGAAGGCTAAAATCACGAGTTAAAATAAAAAAAATTAAAATAAAAACATAAAGCTGAAGAATGATCAAGTCTTCAAATTTGGGGCGATGGCGGGCTCCGCCACCAACAATAAAACAGTCACATAGAGAGTTAATTATA